TTAAGGAATGCAAAATGGAACTCTGTGAACCATTAACTAATATTTTTAATTTATCTCTTCAAACAGGTGTAGTGTCTGATATGTGGAAGATGGCTAATGTAATTCCTATTTTTAAAACAGGGGACAAGTCGTTACCGTCAAATTACCGCCCAATAAGCCTAACCTCAATTGTAGGCAAATTACTAGAGTCAATTATAGCTGATAATATAAGCCATCTGGATAAGCACAGCTTGATTAATGATATTCATCATGGATTCACGAGGGGCCGTTCCTGCCTAACTAATTTGTTGACGTTCTTCAGTAAAGCTTTTGAGGCCGTTGATCATGATAAAGAATTCGATATTGTTTATTTGGATTTTAATAAGGCTTTTGATAGAGTACCGCACCAGAGACTGTTAAAAAAAGTGGCAGCTCATGGCATTGGGGGAAAAGTGCTGTCATGGATAGAGTCATGGCTCACTAATAGGAAGCAGAGAGTATGCTTAAATGGGGTTCAATCCGAGTGGGGATCTGTAACAAGTGGCGTACCACAGGGATCAGTCTTGGGCCCGTTGTTGTTTATAATATATATCAGTGACCTTGATGAGGGAATTACTAGTGATATGAGCAAATTCGCCGATGACACAAAGATAGGTAGGATAATTGATTCAAACGTAGATATTAGGGAACTTCAGGAGGATTTAGACAAACTCAATACCTGGTCAGAAAATTGGCAGATGCAGTTCAATGTAGATAAATGCAAGGTTCTGAAGCTTGGGAGTGTCCATAACCCTAGCACTTATAAGTTAAATGATGTAGAACTTAGCCATACAGATTGCGAAAAGGACTTGGGGGTTATGGTGAGCAGCAACCTTAAACCAAGACAGTAATGCCTAAGCGTACGTAATAAGGCAAATAGATTACTGGGATTTATATCAAGAAGTGTAAGCAACAGAAGTCCAGAGGTCATACTGCAGCTTTATACATCATTAGTAAGGCCTCACCTAGATTATGCAGCTCAGTTCTTGTCTCCATATTACAGAATGGACATAAATTCGTTAGAAAACATTCAGCGTAGGATGACTAAATTAATACATAGCATTAGAAATCTTCCTTATGAAGAAAGATTGAAGACTCTTAAGTTACATTCACTTGTTAGACGAAGAATGAGGGGAGACCTGATCGAAGTGTATAAGTGGAAGATAGGTATTAATAAAGGGGATATTAATAAGGTCTTGAGGATATCTCTCCAAGAGAGAACCCGCAGTAATGGATTTAAATTAGATAAGTTTAGATTTAGAAAGGATATAGGAAAGTATTGGTTTGGAAATAGGGTAGTTGATGAGTGGAACAGTCTACCTAGTTGGGTTATTGAGGCTGGGACTTCGGGTAGTTTCAAATCTAGGTTGGATAAATGGTATAAACCTTGGTAATAAATACCGACAAGTTGGTTTAGAAAGACACGTAAGCAAACACTATGACATATTTATTAGAAAACGTTTCGGTCCTGGGACCTTGATCACTTCTAACATGTTAAAAGTGATCAAGGTCCCAGGACCGAAACGTTTTCTAATAAATATGTCATAGTGTTTGCTTACGTGTCTTTCTAAACCAGGTTGGATAAATACATGAGTGGGAAAGGTTGGATTTGAGTGGGACTTGTATATCAGAGCTTATTTCTTGTGTAGCTTTGAAAATTGGGTTGGGCTGTTTTGTTAGTGGGATGGATTGTAAAGGACCTGCCTAGTATGGGCCAACAGGCCTCCTGCAGTGTTCCTCCTTTCTTATGTTCTTATGTTGTATATTAGTGGTATACAGTACCACTGATATACAATAGTATAGCACTGTTGTATACCACTGATATACAATAGTATAGCACTGTTGTATATCACTGATATACAATACAAGACGAAGCATTAAACACGTGTACAACATATGGGTATCTTTATCCATATGTTGTACATGTGTTGTACACATATGTAAACGTTTCGCTGTCTATAGTCTTCAGATTACGTCCATGTATTGTATCGATAAGGCCACTGGCGGGCGAAATGTCTACCGTTGATACACAACTTTACACATACAGAAACACCATCATGAAATCTTGTTACAGAGCACATTTCCACAACCTCTCTCTCTCTCTCTCTCTCTCTCTCTCTCTCTCTCTCTCTCTCTCTCTCTCTCTCTCTCTCTCTCTCTCTCTCTCTCTCTCTCTCTCTGTCATATAAGGATTAACAGCTTCCAATTAAAGATCTACTAGCGTCTTAAGATAAGTCTAACTTGTCGGATATATTAAGAAAGGGTCATTGGCCATGGTTACAGGCGAGAGGCACCACACTCTTTCTTCCTAACCGTGATTATATATATATATATATATATATATATATTATATATATATATATATATATTTATAATATATATATATATATTATATATATATATATATATATATATATATATACATATAAAACAATCACAAGGGGAGTAGTTGAATGATAGCTCTAGGCCCCAAGAATGTTACGCAAATTTCATTAAGTGCTGTATAAAGTAGATTTACATTGCAGATTAAGCTAAGTACGCTTGGCTAGTGTTAAAAAAAAATTATATATATTTTTGGCTGTTCAACTGGCAAGATTCCTTCTGAGGGAGATAAATGGAATAATGAGGAGGATGGGACTCGACAAGCACTTCTCGGATGGTGCAACTACAGACACATCGGGGCCAGGAGCTAAAACTCGACCTCTGCAACCACAAATAGATGAGTACACACACACAGTAGTGACATATTAGCTGGTTTCTTGATATTAATTTTTTTCCACGTTGGTGGTAATAGAGGCTCTCAGTGCCAGCAGGTGGTGGCAGTCAGTGCC